CCATTAATATGATTTTTACTGTAAGTTTTGGAGAAATGATCTTTCTTAAAGTAGGAGTGTTCTCTTCTATTCATAATTTGTGAGGAATATTATTCTAATAATAATTTGTTTTTAACTTTATCAAATGCTTTGACATTTATTGATGTGATCACATGGTTTCTCTTCTTTAATCTATTATTATGTAATAAATCATATGAAGGTGATTTTTAATCCTGCATTACTGAACACACTTTGATTTGGTACTGATTTATTATCTTTTAACTGTGTTTCTGGGTTTGATTTTTCATTTAGCACTTTTGCATTTATGTTGGTAAGCAGAAGTGGCTTATAGTTTTCTTGCTCATTTTGGTATCAATGTCATGCTAGCTTCCTTGTGAAAATATCCTATATGTTATAAACTTTCTTAAATTTATTTTATTTCACTTTCTGCTGTAGGGCTAGTTAGTTTCTGTAAATGTTCCATTTGCATTTTAAGGAACTGTGTATGTTCTGTTTTTTATGTTTAATATTGCAAAAAAATAGATTAACCAGTTTTACTGATTATGCAGTTATAATCTTGCATATTATTATTTTTCCCCTGCTTTTTCTATGGCTTTCTGAGAGCTGTATGTTAAGTCCTTTAGTATAGTCTTAGTTTGACACTTTATCCTTGTAGTTTTCTCAGTTTTTGCCTTATATACTTTGAAAAATTATTATTGGTTTCATTGAGATGTGTTACTTCTGAATATTCTTTATGGCCTGCCTCTTTTATCAGTATGAAAGGCTCCTCTTTATCTCTTTAAATGTTTTTTACAATATTAATATTGTGACATCTGATTTTTACATAAGAGCATTTGCTTAATATAGCTCTTTTAACCTTTTATTCTCAATCTTCAGTTGGGTTTTGGGTATGTCTCATAAATATATTACTGAAATTAGATTTTTTAATCCAATATGAAAGTTTTTAACTTTAAACCAGTGAATTTAAAACATTCCCTTTTATTGTGATTTCTGATATATTTGGAATTACTTTTGTTTTCTTATTTTTCTCTTATATTTATCATGTTTTCTAGTTTGTTGCCCCTTTGCCCACCTTTAATTGGACTGATAGATTTTTTTTTTAGTTTTAGTTCTCTTCTGCTATTTTACAATATATTGTTTCCAGTTTTTTTGATTACCTTAACATTAGCATAAATGTTCAAACATATTTTTCTATTAACTAGAGTTAATCAGTATCTCTAATATCCCCGACAACAAAAAAGACTTAGCATACTTTTTTTTTCCTCTGCTCCCTTGTAACTCTCATCCCCCTCATCATTTAACTCTTGCTGATATTATTTTGAATTTTATATTCAGGTAGCAATATTTTAAAAATTGTGTATATATACACATATGTATTTAAAATAAACTTTTTTTAACTTAACATATTTTATTACTTTCTTTGCTTTCTTTGCTGTCACTTATTTTGTCTCATTCTTTCCTACTGGAGGTCTTATTATTAGTGTTGTGTATTGTCTAGCAATTTTTCCAAAAGGATCTTGAGGTAATAAACTTCAAAGTTTCTTTCAATTCTAAGAATATCTCTATTTCTGTCTCTCACTTGAATCGTAGTTTTTCTGGGTGTACAATCCTATATTCAAAGTTATTTTTTCTTACAATGTTGAGGATATTACTTCCACTGCTTTTTTGTATCGTGGATTGCTCACGAGGAATCTGATGTCAACGTGATCCTTAATTTTTGTAAGTCATCTTTTCTTTCACTCTGACAGCTTTTAAGATTTTTCTCTTTATGCTTGATGGTCACGTATTTTATCACAATATATCTAGGTGTGTGTGTGTGCTTCATCTTTATCCTACAGCCACAAGAAGTTTTAAAGTTTGGAGACATTTTTCCATAATATTTCTTTAAATGCTGTATTTCCCCCAATTTTCTCTGTTTCTTCCTTTTGGAAATACTTTTAAACGAATGTTAGAATTTTTATGTTATTAGTGTATCATAACTTTTCCTACTTCCCATGTCTTTATCCCTCCTCCCAATATTTAGCTTTGGGCTTTGGTGTCTTATCTGCTTTTCTTTTTTTTTTTGGATTTCTCACAGTCTCTAGTGCATCTCTTTTTACACTTTTTTTTTTCATTTATATTAAGAAATCTTTCCTATTTTCTCTAAGGATTTGAGGTGAAGGATATATTTGAGAGTGATATAAACAGTGCTCGGTTTGCCAACTTAAATTTGCTTTCAATTTTCTAATATTTGTCAATAATTCTCATGAGCTGTGACACTGATGACAAAAGTTTGGGGTTTGGCAAGGCAGGTTAAGCAGAAGAACTGGATGATGAACTTGAGGTGCTAGTTAGTGTCACGTTTGGAATTGTGAACTATGAAGACTCAGTTGTAGTAGGAGTCAAGAGGAGACACAGGGAGGCTGAATAAGTAAAAGCCGTAAGACCAGAGGTTCCAATAGTGGGGCCAGTGGTAGCGACAATTGAACAGGTGCCAAGATATGAACCTGTTTATAGAAAAGGAGAATCAGAGTTTGAAGTCTGTACGTGGAAGAAGCCCCAGGATTGAGGGAATCTAAGGGATGGTTGATCTTTGGGGGTTGCTGATGTGGGATTTAGGTTATGTGGGAGAAAAGATCAAGGAATCCTGAGCCCAGAATATTAGAAAGGCCATTCTTGGGGAAGCTGGTGTGGTATTTGTGGAAAATAATAGAGTTCATTTGAAAATTACTATTTGTAAAAGTTGTATTTTTAAAAGGCTGTTTGCATTATTACCACTTAGCAAATGTAATATATCAGTAGAAAAATCTGTTTCATCGTAGCAAGTGTTTGATTGTATAGATTCTTCATGATGATGAAGCAAAATGTAGCTCTTTCTCTATTTCTCAAGACCATAGACTTTCCTATACTCTTCATGTATAGTTAGTTTTATGATTTAGATCTCCTTCGTCCACATGTACACATTCTTTAGGCTGAGGTAGCTTACCTCTATACTTGGAGCACTGTCAAGTAATATATGAATATTCATCTGGCCATAGTGGAATGCTGTTACCTGTAGAAATAAGCCTTGCTTCTTCAGTTACAATATATTCTCCCTCACAGGTTGTGGCCTTGATGTCCAGAGAGACAAGAATTATTGGAATACATGTCAGTACATGTACTTCAATATGTATTCGAATTAAAATGAGTATCAGGGAGTCCCAAAGTAGCAAACGATATACAGAGAGCAAATTAAAAATCTGTTTCCAGACATTGAGCACTTCATTATTTCTTATAAACTTTTAGTGCATCCAGTACTTAGAGTCTAACATTTTAACATTTTTACATTGTTTGACACAACCCTTTATTGGCAGTTTAAAAATGGAGAAGGAGTGTGAACTAGAAAGTGTAACCGGTCTACAGATATTGAATGGAAGCGTTATGTTTGAAATTCAAATTGGGATCAGTGACTAGAGATCAAGAATGAGAAAAGTAGTCAACCTGCAAATATTTAAGCCTTAATGTGTGGGGGAAAAGTCTCAGTGTATCAAGTGTAAAAGGAATCATGATTGGTTAAAGCTACTCTATTATACCTGAGACAGAAGTAAAGGTATGAGAAAGAGCATTCGAGAAATACATGACTTTATTGTACTGAAAGTTATCATCTTTGTAAGCATAAACTTAAGTACTAATAAATTTATGTACTACATGAAATAAGGAATCATTTGCTGAAAAATGATAACATCTCTTTTAGTGCTACTTATAATAATGACGACGGTAGTCATAATTGGTTGAGCACTTACTTGTATATGCCTAGCACAGTGCTATATGCCTAGGTACTCAGCTTCTATACATCATCTCTTGTCATTGAAACAACCGAGTGAGACAGACATAGTAAGGGTTTTTTTTTTTTTTTTAATAGCATTAAAAGAACTGGAAAGCTAGTCTAACATTTGGTGAATTTTAACAGAATAAATAAGTGATATGAATAACTTGGGCCCCCAAATAAAAATTCTAATCAGATAGCCCGCTTTAGCAGTGGACTGGAACAAAGATGTAAGGATGGAAGTTATATTTTTATTTCTTTGTTTTGGGATTTGTTTGTTTGTTTCTTTGTCTGTTTTTTAGCTCTACTATCTATGTTTTGCTGTTTTCGATGTTTGGAAAAAGCAAGACTGAGTCTGACAAAGTAAGAAATTAGTTCTGCTGCTGGTTCTGGTTTATAAAAACTTATATTTCAACAAGATTTACACAAAAAATTATAACAATAGTGAAATAAGTAACAATCTTTATCAAAATGAAGCTGCTAATCTTTTGCAGATGAGTCAGAACTAATGGTCAGCACATTCACGGTGATTAAGTTGCACAAAGAAAAATATCTATGAAATCATAGCTGTATACTGCCAGTGATTCAATTAGCTTTTCAAAGTGATTTGATTAGGACACACATTGCAATGTAATAACACAAAAGCAATGTATTAAGTGCTTTAAAATACATATGTTGTTTTTGTACTAGGCTATTAGCCAAATCTCATTTTTTGCTTTGCTGATATACTTTGAATATCACACACATATAAAAGCAAAGTAATTTTTCCTTTTGAAAGGTTATTGCACTTGCAAATGTAATCTTAACATCAACACAGATAAAATAACAAAGAATTCTTGGTTAAAAAGGAAGAATAAAGCATGTAGCCAAAATAATTATGCAAGATACCTGTAACTTAAACCAAAGAAAGGGGTATTTCCATAATTACATTTCAAGCAAAAAATTTAAATGAAGCAATAATTTTAATGTCCCTTGAGTTTAAATTTACATTCAGGTTACATTTACATTCCTTCTGATAGATTCTACACACAAATGGAATTAAGACATATTTTTTTTCTATCATAGAAATTGTATACAGCATACAGACCACAGGGTTTCTAATTTCTGTAAATAATTACTCCAGCACTGAGGAGAGGTATGTATCTGAAATAAAAGCAGAGAGTCAGAGATTAACAACCCTCTGAAGGACACATGATTTCCCCCACAGGTTTAGTGTGAGTCTTTTTTTCTTTCCACAGAGTATCTGTACCACTACCACCGCATTTTTGCACTTTTTCTTCCTGGCTTCATTCTGTTGGGTTTTGACTGAGGCATGGCAGTCATATATGGCTGTAACTGGAAAAATTAGGACACGGCTTATAAGGAAACGCTTTTTGTGCCTTGGATGGGGTAAGCATATTAATATACCCTTTCATGCTCTTGTTAAAATGACTTTTAACATTTATATTATGAAGCAGTAGAGAGTAATTATCCTTGGCTACTTTCTATCTAGTTTAATATATGAAAGTGAAAATACATGAGGGCGGTCATTTTTGAATGTTCATTAACCGTTTGGAACTTTAAAAAGGAGTAAGTATTGAATGCCCCTGTAGCTAGTCAGTTACCAATCGACGGTGCCTACATGATTTGAGATGAGACCTGAGATATCCACAAGCAGAAAAACAAAGTGTTCTCTGTTAATATTTTCTGAAAATGCAAAATGTCTTAAAATGTTTAGGGCCCAAACCATGACAGTTCACTAGGCACATACTCCCCTCAAGAATACTTTACTGATTCCATTCCAAGAAATCTCAAAACTATTAAATAATAAATCTATTCCTGTTTACAGGGAGAAAGCCATCTAGAGAATGAATGAAATCTCATGGTTAGTCAGTGGTGTCCTCCAAAGTAGAAAAACAGAATTGCTGGCAGACTGAGAATTAATTCTTTACCTGTCATTATTAGAAAAATTTCCTCTCAAATTGCCTAATGACAGGGATATCTCAAAGATCTATACATTTCACAAGGCCAATTCTAATGATAACTTGGTTAATTTAAGAAGCTAGTTTTAGAAAAAGCCCAGTATATTTTAATGTGTACCTTTGAATTGTAAAGGACCAACACTAAAAAACTGGGGAATTTTAGACCAAATATATGACATATACCTACTGTGTTTGAAGATAGGAGAATAGAATGCTAGAGGGAAAATGGGAAATTACCAAAGTGGATTGATTATAATACCAGAATAATTCATGCTGGAAACACAGGATTAAGAACACTTAACCCATCAGATTTCAGCAAGGATCTACCATGTCTAACTAATGTACAAGGATTCCCTGCACAGGCAAATGGGAAATCAGCTAAGAAGTTGAAGAATGTGTTCTACTTAGACTTTCATAAAATTTTTGTCTAGATTCCATTATAAGGACCTTCTAAAGTTGCACTAGTAATGAACCAATAGACATGAATTAATCATGAAATAGTACCATAGATCCAAGAAATACAGAATGCAGGTTAAAGAACCACATGAAGAATAAAGAGAGCTGATTTACAGGATTGGTAAATATTTAACATTTTTACTAAAGATCTGAAAGAGAGACTTCACAGGTAGTCTCTAAGTTTACAGCTAATATTAACCTACTCCAGGTAGCAAAAAAAAAAAAGCTAAATTGATGGTGGGCAGCTAAAGTTTGTGGGTGGGCAGAATAGTGACATTGATTTTCATTATGGCAAGTGCAACATAATGAATTTATAAAAAGAAAAAATTAATCCAAGTCGTATGGAATGAAGACTATTAATCCTTCATTTACGACCTGGAAGAGTTTTTTTTGTTGTTTTGTTTTGTTTTGTTTTGTTTTAATGATCATGATCCAGTCAATCAAAAAAGTCAACAAATGACATGCATGGAGAAGGAGGAGGAGGAGACCATATATATAAGCTATGTTATATATAGGAAGGTACATCAAAAAGTTTATGGAAAGATTCATATATCTTTCAATTCTATTTTTCCATGAACTTTTTGAAGAACCCTCGTATAGTCACCAGTATTTGTTCAAAAATATGGTGTGTCCCTGTGAGATGCCTTCCAAAGTTCTTGTCATTAAATTTCGTGGAAAAATGCAATGTCACAAGAGAAAGCTTACAGAAGAAAGAATAGCAGGAAGGATAGGAAATGATAGGAAGAAAGAAGATGGGTGAAGGGGATGCGAGAAGATGATGAGGTGATGGATTTTTCAACCTGGAAAGACAAACGTGATCTTCCTGAAAACAAAACAGGACCATAACTTAAAAGAAAAAAAAAAAAAAACCTTTAAGTAGTGGTGATTAGACTGAGTTCTATTTCACCAAAACACACAGGAGTTTCATTGAACGTGAATGAGGTAAGTATGATTCACATAAACAAACTAAAAGTCATAAGGTCAGAACTGGTGCAGGTATGCAGGCAATTGAATTCCCTGTTACTACATTCTTGTTATTAAAAGTAAATTATAAAGAAAGAATTAACTGCTAAGATTTTTTTTAATCTTATAAGTACAACTTGATGTGGATCAATATGTGCCCAGCTGAATGTTTCATTTCTGATATTCCATCACACAAGAACATCCAGTTTTCGCCTTTCTGATTTTATAACTATGAATTTCCTTTATAACAGAGTAAACTCTTAGAGAAAAAATAACTTAAAAGATATACTAAATCTCTTTTATTACTTCCCTTTAAACCCGTGTCAAATGTGGTGGTTACCTAGCAACATTAGAGAAATGCACTAAGTTAAAGATCCAGCTGTCGCTGTCATATTTTTGTACTTGAAAGAAATTTTTTAATGGAGACATACTTTGTGAAGTGATTCATCCAAAGGCAGTTGTTCTGATTTAAGCATCGAGAGTTTGTCCTGACTTTTCTTAGGACAGTATGCACAGTGGTTATAGCTGAATATGAAGTGTGACATTGCTTTTCTTGCAGGTTTGCCAGCATTAGTAGTGGCCACATCAGTAGGCTTCACCAGGACGAAAGGATATGGCACTGATCACTAGTAAGTCCATCCACAGTGATAAATCACATTTACAATTAAGCAAATTATTACATAGGCTTCATCAGTCTTGGTTTGCACTGCTGATGGTTTGCATTTTGTCATCAAGTCATTAACAATGGTAGAAATCGCATTAGTGAGGAAAAATGTAAGGTAACTTAAATACACAAAAGTTAACAAATAAATGCTATGGCACTGTTTAGAATCCCTGTTTCAATTTCTCATTTTTTAATAAAAAAATTGGTTTTATAAATATTTCAATATTTACTGTGCATATTCAATTTCAAATACTTTTTTAAAGAGCTGGATAAATCTTGACATAGTTCCCTTCTATAATGTGATTCTGCTCTGAGCTTCTAATTTCATTGATTATAATGTATATTGTTATTAACCAAATTTTGCCATGTTAGTTCAAGTTTTGTTGCTATGTTAGGGTAATACATACTAAAAATTGTAGAACATGGGAATCAAAATTCCACATTAGAAAATGCTTGGGCTATAGAAGAATTAGAAGGGAGTAAAGAGGTTTGATAGCCCATCTTGTAGCTATAATGCTGAAAAATTCTATGAGAGAATTTATAGTAAAGTTTATGTTTAATATTTCAAATTTGAAAGAATTAGAAGGGAGTAAAGAGGTTTGATAGCCCATCTTGTAGCTGTAATGCTGAAAAATTCTATGAGAGAATTTATAGTAAAGTTTATGTTTAATATTTCAAATTTGAAACAATGCACTTTCATATTTTACTTCATCTGCTCTCAAGCTGAGAAGTCAATTGAGAAATGGTCATAGAAATGTGCATCTTAGTAAGGGCATAGGGTTTAAAGTGTGCTGTTCTGTTTAATGGTTTCCAGATTTGAGGTGGGAACACTGCTAATTAGGCCATCTGGTGGGTTCATCCAAATTGGGAGCATACCAAGAGACATCACTTCACCTGCCCTTCCCAAAGAAACTTCTGAAGACTCTAAAGAGCTCATGTCATCAGAGCACTTGTTTTTCTTATGCAATCTATATAATTGAAAAATACTCTGATAGCGTATATTGCAGAGTACTGCTTACAATAGCACTATTACATTTAAGGTATTACTTTTAAAAGTAATTTAACTATTTTAGTATGAATCCAGCATCTGAAAGGCACTGTACTGGAAATATGTAAAGAAGTAGAATTAAAGACGTTATGGTTTCAACTTCCAAGGAGTTTCTAACTAAAGCTGTATATAATACAATGAATAATGCATTGATTTTATAACCATAAACTTCCTTTATAACGATGTAAACTTAGGGGAAAAAAATAACCTAGAAGATATACTAAATCTCTATTAGTGCATCTTAAAAGACATACTAAATTTCAGTTTGAAGATTAGCTTACACAAAAATACAGTAGAAATTTAGTGTCAGTCTTAGACACGAAACTAAAGTGTTCTAGTCTTAGATACCAAACTAAAGTGTTCTGTTGGACTAAGGTCTTTTTCTCCAGTTATTTTATAAAAAAATATTGAAGTGTCTACCCCAAATTGGCAAAGTAAAATTTTGTCTGTCTGCTGTTATGGCAAGGAGCAATAACTAAATACAGGCTTTGAATACATACATATACGTATTTGTGTATGTATATATCAATATATGTATGTGTGTGTACATATATATATAAAATTACTACATAAAACATTTTAATATAAGGTATAATTAAATAGAGTAATATTCACCCTAGTAAGTGTACAGTTCTGTGAGTTTTGGCAAATACAGAAAGTAATGTAACCACCACAATCAATATAGAACAATTTATTTTTAGAACAGATATAGAACAGTTACTGTTTATTATTGTTACTGCACGCTGATTCTGTGGGCTGAGAAGAAATAGTGAAAGGGTCAAATTTCAAAAAATGGTGGGCATGACTCTTTGCATCAGTACTGAAGCTTCCCTCATATTGACTTCCCTGGAATATTCATGTGCAGATGGGTCACTCTGCATAGCCTCTAATGTCGAGCCCCATTCCCTGTTTATTTCCCTCTGCTGTGAAAGAATGAATGGTTTTACCCACATGGGTTGTCATGTCTCTATCAATGCAAACCTACATCGCTTGGTGAATTTAACCATTGAAACAAACACAGCTGTGCTTATTTTTATTCAAAAGCTTATCTTAGTAGTCTGGAGAAAAAAGTAAAATTAGAAGAAAAAAGCATGCAAATGTAGATTATCCATTCCCTGCAATGATGGCATTTAAACCAATCTCTCCCGATATCTCAGTGGCCTCAAGGAAGAGCAGGCAAATGGCACGTCTGAGACTCTAGAAACACACTGTTCTTGCTTTAAAGTATATTTGAAAAATTCCATAATGGATATAAGTAGCACTTCATAAAACTTAAGTAATAGTCACCTTTCTAATGAAAATAAATATAGAAATCTCACTGCAAGAGTCATTTGTCTAAAATGTTTCATCTGCCTGAAAGTCATAAAAGTTTCTTTTCAATGAGAGGTATGCAGTATTTTTCACTCAAGGAATGCTGTAATTCTAGCTTTTATCCCATCTACTATGCGTTTTTTTTAAATTACAAACCTTTGAAATGTGCTGAAATTCCAAGGCTAAATGTATGACCTGAGTTATTTGTATCACTCTTTAGTAGTCTAATATTTATCACTAAATTTGTTAGTTTTTATCTAATGTTACTTTCAGCTGCTGGCTTTCTCTGGAAGGAGGACTACTCTATGCTTTTGTGGGACCTGCAGCCGCTGTTGTCCTGGTAAACATTGAAATCAATTTATTTTGTTTTCTTGGCAAAAAAAAAAAAAAAACAACTTTGGTTCAATTAGAGTGGCAATTTTGGTAATGTATTCATTGTGTAGAAATTTTAAAGTTTAGTGAATTATTATTATTGATTTGAATATCAATTGCTATTCAGTCTTTAAAATATTTTTATTTTGAACACTGAAGAATATTAAATTTGGGAGTGTGGAATTTCTCTTAAAGTAATTTCAGATTTTGCAGAAGTTTGAGTAAGTTACAATAAATTCCTCCTCTTTAATGTACAGAATCTCATTGTTTATTATCTTTTCACCTTTATAGTATTCTTTATGATCTAATAGTTATTAATAGGAAGATCTCTTCAAGGCTGCCACTATCAAATATCAAAAGAAAATACGTGTCAGAGTTTCTCAACCTCAGTGAAACTGACAATTTGGACCAGACATTTCTTTGTTGTAGGGGCTGTCCTGTGTATTTTAGGATGTTCAATAGCATCTTTCCATTTTACCTGCTATATACAGGTAGCATCCTCCAGTTGTAATGACCAAAAATGTCTCCAGACATTTCTTGATGTTCTCTGGGGGTCAAAATCCCCCCCTCCTTTGTTAAGAATTACTGCCAGATGTTATGCATAAGATTTAAAATTATTCTTTTTGTAATCATAAAATAATTCCTTAAAATTTGTAATTATGGTAACATGCAAAATATTCTACTAACTTCCCCCCCCCGAATTTATTGATTAAAATCTTTCTCAACCAATAAATTTTTGAAGAAAATAAGGCAGGAAAGAAATGTTCTACTTTAAATACAAAGACTTATATAGCTGTGCAACTAGATTTCAAATTAGAAAATTGCCCTTTGGTTTCTTGAATAATTCACTCAAATAATTGCAAGTTGGTGACATCTTTCTTAATAACTCTGATACGTGACTTTTTCTTTCTTTAATTTTTGTTCTCCCTCCTTTAAGCTGTAACAGAAGTACAGAAAAATAAAATCTAGGTGTGAGTGTTGGAGAACAACACAGGGAAATCAAAACTATTAGACACATTCCTGCCTGCGGCATTGAATTTTTATTTAATCAATTGGATTATTTCCCTAAGCTACTAGGTTAATATACATATAACCCTAAAATGAAGAAACAAAGAGCATGTGTATAATTGAAATGCCAAAGTATGATCTTTGGAGTGGTGAAGAATTCCCCCATGATTAAGTTATAGATTAGTAGAATCTATGGAATACCCTTTTTCTCCTAGTTCAAATAATGAGAAGTACACAGATAAGTATTCTCTTGATTAAATGGGATTTTGTCAGGAAAATATGAAGAGTGACACCCCCAAGTCCCTACTTAACAGGTGTGCTGTAGATCTTCCTTACATCAACAGTAAAATAGATTTCAAATATAGATTTACCATTTCCATTGCTGGTGGGGGGTGGGAGCGCATGCCACCAAGATTCTGTTGTGCAGGGATCACGGAAGGTAAGGGGCAAGAAAGGCAAAAAGAAGAAAATATTTTTCCTTGATTATCTTGGTTTTCCTACTGAACTGGATTGCTTTATCAGAAAGTCTTGTGTGTTCATCACAATAAGCTGCTGTGAATAGACATCTACCACTGCAGCTTTATACCATTTTGCTTGAGAAAGAAAAATATGTGTGACTTCATTTCAGCAGTAATATGCAAAAGACTTTTTAAATGAGAGTAAGAGAGTCATAGAAAGAAAATGCTGAGGTGTTCACTAGAACATATTTTAAGGATTGGTGCTAGTGCCCATTGCTTAAGGGATGCTGGAAGTTGCACAGGCTCTCCTTTTTGCCTAGAAGAGCATGGTGCATCAAAATGCTGCCCACCCCACAGAAGGGAAGAGCCACATGGCATGTGGAATTTAGGCATTCTGTCCTCCCTTCTGGGAGCAAAGACCAATTCTCAGCACCTTTTTGCTTCCAGGGCTCACCTTAGCCTCACACTGAGATTCAGAAATCTTTTGGTTCTCAGGCATAGGGTAAGACTCATTTGGCCAATTGATTTTATTCAAGGTTGACTGAGAGAGAAGAATGCCAGATTGGCATAGTATGGTACGATTTAAAAACTAGGCAATTGAAGTGCAATTTCCTCAGTGTTAACTGTAAAGCATGGAAATTAAATGTACTTTAAAACTTTGAAGTATCACACCACTGTTAAATTGTTCAATATGCCTTTATGTACTTATCAAATGTTTGAGAAGTGCTTCATATCACCACTATTGTGAATACATAATTCTACCATGGTTACAAACTGATGAAAAAGGATTTTCAGGACAAATAGGGGCCTGATTCCTTCTGATATCATTGAAAGGTCAACTTTGTTTCTGTTTGACAGGTCAACATGGTGATTGGCATTTTGGTATTTAATAAACTTGTTTCCAGAGATGGGATCCTAGATAAAAAGCTCAAACACAGAGCCGGGTAAGCTGCAATTGGTAGATTTTGAAGATTCTTTACTGGTGAATCCCATACTCTAGTTAAGATTGACTGCATTTGACTGTGCCTTGAATTTTGTTCTTGATGAACTAGTGTGTCTGGTGGATTCTGCCGTTCAAAAATTTCTGATGAGCTATTCTTAAGTAATGTGACCAAACATCTAAAGATAATATAATAGACCATTAAGAAAATCTAGGTTTATTTGTGAATATTGCCTGCTCACCAGGTAAGAAGATTAAATGTGAAGGCTAGACTTAAAATAGTTGTTCTTAGGTAAGCGTTTTCAAAACCCTTCCAGTTTTGGTACAAAGGACAGGAGGTAGATTGAACACAATGTCAGTATGTGACAACTGAATCAAGACAAGCAAATCTAAATAGGGCAAAAATACTGCATTTTCTTTTCTTTGTCCTTTTTTTGAGACCGGCTGCAACGCGCTCAGCCAGTGAGCACTGTGAGCGCACCGGTCATCCCTATATAGGATCCGAACCCGCGGCGCTCCTCTCCCGAGTGCGCCACGGGCTCGGCTCTGCATCTTCTTCGATTAATTGTATATACCAGGAAAAAATCTTCACTTGAAATAGTCACTTATCAAATATTACTCTTGTCATATGTTCATTCTTTATGGCATTTTAACTATAACTTGCTAGAAAGAGTTATTCATAATTTTCTCTTGCACATTTTAACCACTTATAAAATTTTTCAAAACATCTCCCTTAATTTTACTATTATAATATCACTATATCTAATGACTTAAAACATTTGCTAAGCAGATTAATAGCAGTTTTTAAGGTTACATCATCTCCTTATTGTACAAATGTGTAGAAACTTGAATGAAAAAGTTATAAATATCATTTTTATAAAAAGTATATAGCCTTATCCTTTCTGTTAAACTATACCTTCATTCAAAACTTACCCCTACAATTGTTCTCTTTTCTTTTATAATTTATGATATTATTTAATAGTCATAATATTTGATTACCTACTAGTGAGAATTTTAAATCTTTTGTGTTTTTATAGCTATGTAATGATTTACAAAATAAAATAATCCATGTATTTCTTTTTTCTATTAAAAGACTAGGCTTAATGGTTTTCTATATAAAAATTTGACATCATTCATATCAAACATTAGAACTGCAATGATGTAATAAAAACATCATTGAAGGTTCCTTCCAGAGGGGGTGTCACTTCTCATTTAGAGACTTTTCACTGCAGATGAGTTTCCTTTTCACCCTTAAACAGGCAGACTTGAACTTAGTACAGACACTGAGCTTTCTATACCATTTGGACAAGAAGCCTTTACATGATCACTCTGGGTAGTCTGCCACATGTGGTTGGAATTGGAGTAATAGCTTCCTTACTTATTTCTGTTCAAATTAATCATGTAAGAATAGATTGCCCATACTGAGTATTGGGTATAGAAACTCAGCTCTAATACTAGTGGTATACATTTATGTAATTTAAACGACGACAACAATGAAATGGGAGATTTTAGTGGTTAAGATAAAGCTTTGAAGTCAAACAAAGCCATGATCAATATCCAGCTCTGCAATTTACTAGCTGTGTTTATGTGTCTTTGGGCATGTTATTTTATCATTTTGCAACTCAGTTTCTTCGTCTGTTAAATGGAAAAAGTAACTCTTGCTTCATTAAGTATATAAAATATAATGTGTATAAAGCATTCATCAGAGTATCTAGCAAATAGCAAGCATACACTCAACAAACAGTGGCTATTCTTATGAGTGAAATAAGGAAGCCAAGTTATACAAATTGTTTTCAAAGGTCCCTGACCATCAATCAAAAGTTCATGATTACACCGTCCATGACACTGAGGTCAGAAAAAGAGATGCAATCATCCAAATAAGTATAATGCTGCAGATTTATTAATTTTACAGTTAGTAAATTTTTTCTAATTTAGTTATTTTATATGTAATGCCCAGGTTGATTTACATAGTTCTTTGTAAGAGCTAGCATAGGTTTAGAAGAAATGACAACATTGTCATATTATGAATTTAGAAATTACTCATTCAATTTACATATTTACAAAGACAATTATAATTTTAAAAACTCTAATTCTAAAAATATTTTTAGAAATTACATACGTTTTACTGGAAAAACTGAGCCAGTGTTTTTCTCGTTCAAAGGACACTGTTAGAGAAACAGAAATGTTGTTAGTATATGTTATAAAAGCCAACTGCTGGTTACTGTCCAAAGCAGAAAAGAGCTCAATAAATTAGTGACTTTAGGTTTTTAAAAAATATTTCTATAGTATAAAATGCTATTTTAGCCTAAGTAAATATAAATTGAAATTTGTCTCCATTCCAAATGTGATTGAAGGAAAATTTTTAGAGGCTATGGATGTTTTTAGTTCAGAAGCAGTGAAGACAGTAATAAAGAAAGACTTCAATGAAGAACAAATAATCAAAGTTAACTAATGAAACATTGAGCAGAAGGCTAATTGACTTAACAACTATCTCCCTAATTGTAAAAACTGACTATTTCAAGTTGTTTGAGTATACTTATGTCAGGTATTTCTTTTGAAACCATACCATTACTCAGAATTAAGTATGATGCTAATATTTTCCTTCTCCCATTTTTTCCATTTCTTTCTTCCTTTTCTTCTTTTTATAATTAATTACTTGAAATAGCCAAGTGTAGTTTGTGCTTAATGAATATTTATAAAGGAGTGAATAAATGTATGTTTAATATATAATATAATAGCTTGACAACTTTTACATTACTCAAACTTTATTAATTTTTTTCTAGTATATAAAATAAATTTTCCAGGGGGGGGGGTTACTGCACATAACAACACATCTTATATAAAGTGAAAATTGGAAAGAATGAAAACAAGATAAAATGGCATGAGTCATTTTAGAACCTCTTAACAGAAAATTTATTTTTCTCTAATTTTCTGCAATGGAGCTTTTTCATCTACTGTTTTAGACTGCTTTATCTTTATCTACCTGAAATTAAGAAGACTAAATTACCAGCATCTTTTGCAAATTTCATAAGATTTTGAGAAAGTAAGGAGGTATATTTTCTTTCCAGGGAATTTTTTAGAGTATTAATAATAAATCAATCAGATAATTATTTTTTCCTAAAAAAAAAAAATTAGGAAGGGAACTAGAGCCTGTAGTTTTTAAGACCCATAGCACAGGTTGAGTATCCCTAATCAAAAATCTGAAACACTCCAAAATCTGAAACTTTTTGAGTGCCAACATGATGCCACACCTGACTTAATGTGACAGTTTAAAGTAACTTTTTAATCAAAACACAGCATCATAGGTGGAGACTGAAAGCCTACCAGTGTTTGGTGTTGCTGTTGTTTAATAGCTGATACAAGTATTCTGGTGATAGTACCGTGCTGCTTAGTTCCCCTGAACACAGTATGTTTTCACTGTATTAATGATATTCCTTTTTTTTTTTTACTCTTAATCACTTACGTGTGAATAAGCGTAGCAAAATGATTGCTTATTGGTAGTATATAAATTCAGAGTCAGGAATGATCGTGATGCCAATCAACCACAGATAATCCACATGGGTGGCTGAGACAGTGGCATGTTTGCTTTTTGATGGTTCAAGGTGCATAAACTTTGTTTTATGCACAAAATTATTAAAAATATTGTATAAAATTACCTTCAGACTATGTGTCTAAGGTATATATGAAACATAAATTTCGTGTTTAGACTTGGGTCCCATACCCAAGATATCTCATTATGTATATGCAAATACTCCAAAATTTGAAAAAATCCGAAATCCAAATACTTCTGGTTTCAAGCATTTCAGGTAAGGGATACTCACCCTGTAACAATGGGAGCAGACAAAACAACTCGTATCCATTTACCTACTCTGGTGCCCTGGTGGATGTTAGATACATTTGAACTATGAGAAATTCACCTTATCTTTTTTTAGCTGTTTGAACTTTTAACTTTATAAATGTATAATTTTCTTGATAACAACAACAAAAAATTATTTTTTACTGCAGCAATTCAACTTAGCATCTAGATTATGTGTTCTTCGTATTATATTAATTTCTATAGTGGTCATATAAACTTGGACAAAATATTACATCTCTCGGGTAACAAGTCGATCCTTTACTCCATTCACATCCAGTAGTAGAATCCCAAAGGTATTTAACCAGTTAGCATCAAGCATAGCTTTCAACATTTAGCTCTGACTAAGGGAAATGTACACAGGCCTTTTAGTCAGCCTCAAATAAATCTCAAATAATAACAAATAAGCATTTTGTGTACCGGTTTAAAATTTATTTTCAGAAAAGCCTATTATATTTAGATTAAACCACAGTTTTTCAGGGCTAAAATGCTTGCTTACATTGTGTACTTAGAATTATTTTTTAGTAATCTTTGGCTTTTCAATCCTGTATCAGAGCCTAGAGGCAAAACATCCTTCAATTGAGGAAGATAGTCACATCCATGTTCAAAGTACAAACATCAAATAGCTTATCTTCTGTAGTAAAGGAAGGCATAAGTGACTATTGCCTTTTCAATATTAATCTGATTGGACTTAACAAGATTGAAAAATCTCAAATGTATAGTTAGGGCAGTGGTGCTCATTCCTGTTTGGTCATCAGAATAATCTATGGAGCTTTTTAAAAGACAGATGCTTGAGTACCTTTAACTTAGAGTCTTTGGAGTTGGGGCCCCCTGACGTGCAGCCACTGTGGAGAATACTTGCCTAGGTATTACTATGGGAATAGTTTCAAACACATCGGCATGCCCATTGAGGCATTTGTAAACTAAACTAGACAGACTATTGATTACATATTATTTTTAAAAGTTTGGGCACATGTGGCTGGTACATATGCCCTGGGTTAGGTCAGTAAAGTGAGTGATTCAGTTTCATATACCCCACTCCCACACCCAACTCTGAAAGCTTTGGTTTTTCTCACAGGGTCTACAGATCAATCATCTTAATAGTTTTCAGATTTATCTCATCTGAGCACTATTCACAAATAATATATTTAGAAGAAACCAGACATTCTAAATTGTGAGCATCTTGCAGTTTCCTCTGTTCTACCACTTTTATAGTACAAATAATGATGACATTAGTTTTACAAAACCTACAGGGCAAACATATTTTAGACATAAATACTATAATGGCAATGGACTAGAGAAGTACACCACAGAAAATTATTTCAAGGTGTTTTGAATTTTGATTCAAGTAATTTCTTTTTGGTTTTTCCTAGAGGTTTATTTCCTAATAAATCTGTTATTTTCAAGGGACACTTTTCTTTTTCTTTCTTCCTTTCTTTCTTTAAAGAAAAGGCATAACAAATTGTACTATTTAACATGCTGGGAGGGGCCAACGCATGAGGGAATCCTAAGAGAGTAGTTTCTCCCAGGGACACTTTTCTAAAGCAGATGCTTATAAAGTTTTTCTGTGCAGTGTGACTTTGCTTCTATGATGTAGTAGATGGAGTCTGAATTATTTGAATCTGAATTTATCTGTAAAATCTAGGCACAAATAGACTGTTTAAGTGCTATGAACTTGGTAGTCTATGACAAATGTTCAGAAAGAATATTTTGAACTTAATGATTATGTTAAATGTGTTTTATTAAAGCAGAAATTTATTGCTCTTTTTATTATCAACTAATATTTCATCAAATTTCATCAGCCCTTATATTCAGATCATCCCCAAATATGGACAATACATTGTTGCTATAAAAAATTTCAAAATTTCTGTTGAATCTTTTGTGATACTTACTAACTCTTCCACAATTGAAGACTCCCAAAATATATACCTTACTATATTGGACTTTCGAGATAAATGTTTACCTTTCAGAAGGTTTTACTATATATGTGCCTTCTGCAAATGACAATGACAATCCTTGAAGCTAGGAGTCCTATCAGGGATCTGAATAAAAGGTTTTCACCGTACGTCTACACAAACACGTGCGTATGTGTATTGGGTGACTTTATATATAAACCCAAGGGCCATTTCTGGTGTAAACTATGGAAATATGCTTTGCATGCAATATTAAAAGGTAAATGTTATAAGGATAATACATAGTGTAAATGTATCTTTAAAACAACCTAGAGCATTCATCTTTGATAAATATACTTTTCCGTGTGAAATCGTATTTAAAAGCTAACTTGCAGCAGCAACTTTTTTGGTGACAATTCAATATTTTGTTCTTTTTGTGGGTGTTCTGTTTGTTTGCAGTCAGATGAGTGAGCCTCATAGCGGTTTGACGCTCAAATGTGCCAAGTGTGGAGTAGTTTCAACAACAGCTTTGTCAGCCACCACCGCCAGTAATGCCATGTTAGTCCCAATCATTTACATCTTCTTATTACGAATCTTTTACAGTGCATGTGAGAAAATGCTATGATGAAAAAAAAAATTGTTTGCTAATACTGGAGCTAAGAGCATACTTAAGTATTCATAATTGGCAACTGCTTTATAAGTATTGTGGGATAGTCTATAAAAAAAATAACTTTCAAATGTTATTTGCTTTGTGGCTTCCAAGTTAATGATCTTAGTGCCACATACAAGAATGTTTTGTTGAACGGGGGTTTGGTTATGGCCTGGGGTGTGACGTGCAAGTAAGTAATGTTGCTTTCTCTGTCTTTCAACAGGGCATCTCTTTGGAGCTCCTGTGTGGTGTTGCCCCTTCTGGCTCTGACATGGATGTCTGCGGTTCTGGCCATGACAGATAAACGCTCCATATTGTTTCAAATACTTTTTGCTGTGTTTGATTCATTGCAAGGTTTTGTTATAGTCATGGTCCACTGCATTCTTCGAAGAGAGGTGAGAAATATAATTCATGTGAGAGAGAGAAGAGTGATGGTTGGAAGGGTATTTCCTCACTAACAAATATGATCTTTCATTTTAATATTCAGATTAAATCCAGTCTCCTCCACTGACAATCATGTGGGAGTTAAAGCTTAAAAGGAAGCTTTAAGGCAAAGTTCAGGAGGGGCCCTGGCACTCTGAGAGTGACAGATTAAAACAGATGGAACTCTGCAAGGGAAAACACAGCCAGAGGTGCCAAGAACCAGAAAGAGTAGATTCAAGAGCAGTTACTTACATGAAGTGATTGGTGTAGATAAGTGTGTTGGAGAAATTGGTGGATAAGAGGGAGGGTGGCATGTTTGCAAAAGGCACAGTTCATAAATGTAATGCAATGATATTTCTTAAGCCCATTTCCTAACTCATGCTTCTACATACAGCACATCCTCATTTCTCAATTCATGTTAACTGCAGATGCTCCTCAACTTGCAGTAGGGTTACATCTGAAAATGTCATAAGTCAAAATTGGGCATTTTGTAGACATGATACGATGAGAAACACAAAACACAGTATCCAAAAGAAGCTGGCAACACAGTACACTGTAGAATATCAGTTGTTTACCCTTGTGATCACCTGGCTGACTGGGAGCTGCTGCTCGCTGCACTGCCCAGCATTGCAAAAGAGCATTGTACCACATATAGTAACCAGGGAAAGATCAAAATTCAAAATTTGAAGTACAGTTTCCACTGAATACGTATCGCTTTCATACCATTATAAAGTTGAAAAATTGTAAGTCGAGACCATCTGTAATTTTATTTTAAATAGAAAGTGTAGAAGATTAATAAACAGTTCTTTTTTCTGTATATTAAACTTTGGTTAACATTACTAACGATTAATGATTTAGAAATGGATGTTTATGCCTAGAAGATATAAAAAATGTACACAGTGGGGCGTGATAGGCAGTAATTGTCTCCAAGAACTGTAGACCTGTAATCACAGCTTTTCTCTGGGTCATGATTGAGGTTTATTGTCAGCAGTGAGGAAAGAAAGAAGTCATCCTTCACGAGTGGAGACACTAACCAGTGCCAAATCCATGTAGGATAGTGAAAGATTTCAGACCTGAGTTGTTTAGGAATAGAATGTTTTCCAACCTGTGCAAAAACTGTTCTGAATGTTTGCAAACATTGACACATATGAGTCATTTTAGCATTTACTCAGGGGATGAGTGGTGACTAAAACACATACTGACACAGTGCCATGCTAGTGAATTTGAGAAAACAGTCTACTCTGTCATTGTGCATTATCTACCTTATTTGAGAACTTTATTGTGATCTGCACATTGCAAAGAGACACATGCGTAGAAGTACATACCACATAGTTTTTATAATGATGTGTCAAGGTAACCAAAGGCCTTTACCTGATTTACCAGATGGGAAGAACTATATTTCTGAGCAATTTCAGTAAGATAGATGTCAGCAATGATCCCACATGTGAATTCTAAGAATATTTTATGACGAAAATCAATGAAAATACATGAAACATGACTTCACATTGCAAATTAAGAGTAATATTTCATCATTTAAAAAATCTGATGTAGCTCATGGTTGCCAAGCTTTACTACTCCCCCATCACAAATTTCTACCTAGAATATCAGCATTAAAAATCTTCCAACTGTTAAATTATGTATACACCAAAGGAGTAAAAGTTCAAAGGAAATTGAATAATAATTGTTGTGTTCTTCTTCAACTATAACTATCTTGTGAGTCTTCTGTATTAATATCATCTCTAATGTATTTAAGTAACAAAATTGTTCTAAATGTGTAGATGTAGACACATAATCCATTTTTGATTGACAGTTAAGAATGAACCGTTGCCAGTTTTAAGCAATATACATGATATACATGCGACTTTCAGAAGCTATTAATACCTTAGATGTTAAATAGTAGAAAAGTGCCCCATCTATAAATAAGCTTATCTTTTTCTTCAGAAATAAGCTTTTTGGCTAGTTTCAGGCTATAATCAAAATATGCAAGCTTTAAAATGATAGATATTGTAATGGCTTATTATCACATTTTTGCTGCTTACATGAAGAAAAATATTTAGCACAAAAATTTTTGATTTCCATCAGAATTTGTCCATACTTGCTAATGTGGGCTATTAAATCTCAAAAACACAGTTTAAGGGTAATTAAACCAAATTATATAATAAATGCTTCTGCTGAAGTAGGTGTATGTAAATATATGTTTTCTGTATTAATGGGAAATAAAAATATGACCATGGCTCAGTTGTTGCATTTTCAGTGATTAGTTCAAATTGAACAATTTTATAACTGATAAATTAATAGCAGAATGTCATAACAATCTATAGTTTCAACACTGAAATGAAAAGTCACATATGCTATTTTTTTTTTGTATTGAACCTTAAAATACCCTATAACATTGCTATAAATATGTATGTAAATATATGTTTTCTGTATTAATGGGAAATAAAAATATGACCATGGCTCAGTTGTTGCATTTTCAGTGATTAGTTCAAATTGAACAATTTTATAACTGATAAATTAATAGCAGAATGTCATAACAATCTATAGTTTCAACACTGAAATGAAAAGTCACATATGCTATTTTTTTTTTGTATTGAACCTTAAAATACCCTATAACATTGCTATAAATACACAGAGAAGATTTCAGTTGTAGGGCAATCAGAATTCCTAAGAGGAAGTTGTTATTAAAAAGACAAAAAGACCCTTGTTTAAAAGGGTTTTACAAATCCCAAGGAACATATCACAGAAGGCCTCACTGAGCCCACAGAAATGCTTCTTGACCTTCTAAATGTATCTTAGTATCTCTTATTCTTTGTGATCACATTGCCCTGACACCAACCACATTCTAAGAGAATAGAAGCATCTTCCCTTATCCTCTGTGTCTTCTGTGAACAATAGTTCCATAAATACACACAGGAGCAAATGGAGTTGATATTTACCTGTAAAACATTGGGTAATGATTCATATCTACTAATCTACTTGATAATTTTTAAAAATGTAAAAGCAATTTAAGAAATACTGCTTTATGATTTAGAGACTGGAAATATATATGCACATTTCTATTTCTATATATTTTTGACATACACTAACATTATTGGGTCCTTTTTTGTCTTGAGTGATTGTGCCAATATGAATTCAAAAGGCTTCACTTGTGTTTACTTGTGAAATTTTTCTGTGGAGGAGGTGGGTGTACACAGGAGAGAAATACAGCCTTGCAGTTTAAGAAGGAGAAAAGAAATAGAATATTATAACTGTGGCATTTTGAATGTGGTGTGTATGGAGCCTAATTTATTTTTAAAGTGCCTTTGCTTTTAGTAGGCCCAATTTTAAAACCAAAATCATTTCAAATCAGGATAGAAAGGAGAATTGATCACTCTGGTACTGCCAACTCAATTATATTCATCTCTTTTTTATTAAAAAAAAAAGCAAATAAAATATCTGTATAACAATTTGTTGTGATCTCCAGACCTGACATCTTAATATTTAAACTTCATAAAATTTGTATTCTTGAAAATACAGATTCTTCTTCTGGAATACCTTCTTATTTTAAATTGTTTTAGTAAATGCCTCTGGTTTAAAAAAAAAAGAGAGAAAAAGAAAACAAAAAGAGCAAATAGGAATAAAAAAATAAGCCATCTAACTTATCACAACACATTACTTTCAGCAACAAAATCTAGATCTTAGAAGCTAATATGTATAATAGCTAATAAGATAGAATCTAATAGAATAAGTATAGATGTTTCCTTCATTTATCCATCATTTGTTGATTAGACTTCATTTGGATTAAGCAGATAACAAGATATACCATTTACTATTCTCCACATTGCTATGGAAATTGAAACGACACAAGAGTTATGAAACCTTTGCAATACTTCCAGTTGCTAGGAAACCACTTTCTTGGTGCCTGCACATTCCTCTCATCTCTGTCTCTGGCTGTGCCTGGCTCTAAGACAGTCTTACAGCTTGATGTCACAGGGGGAAAATAACACGATTCTGGTACAAAATAAGCTACAATAAACCCCTTTCACTAAATAGAAGGAAAAAGGAAAATGCTTAAATGGATAATTTTGTTGAATCGGTGTGTGAGAATCCTGTGGCTGTTCTGCAGCATAAGTAGCAGGCCAACCTCTTCTTTTCTCTTTCCCAAGCACTGGCAGGAGGTCTAGGTTGCACCAGAAGAGGTCTCAAAACCTTCATCTGAACCCATGAAGCGATTTGTAGCAAAATGCTTAAAATAAGCATGAACTGTTTTTTTTCTTTTTCTCTCTTTCTTTTTCTCCCACTTCCTTCCACTCTTTTTATTTTATTTATTATTTATTTTGTGAATTTCCCATTTAGTCTTATTATTTCCTTAAAAATTACAGGTAAACAAAATGATTTACAAGCATATGACAGTAAATACATAAAACAGACAAGCATCCTTATCTATCTAATCCAAAAAGCAATATTCTCCCAAAGTAAATTATATTTTTTAAAAAGTAAAACCAGTAGTGATTAAATGACTAGACAGCAATTTGAAGAGTCCATGTTGCACTTAATATTGCTCAGATGGAGAGTTGCATGAACCTGAAAGCTTGACTACTTACAGGGAAATTAGGTATGACTCATTAGCATGGAAGGATACATCTGTGTCCTTCCTCAGTGAGGGGTGGAACAGGGGTTTCAGTTGGTTTTTGAAGATGAAGGAATAGACAATAGGAGACTTCGGAACTAAATAGTGTCCTGAGGGGAAAATGAGGCTGGAAGATTAAGAAAGGGAAAGTTTCAGATAGAGGAAGGTGGGGAGAGGTTATTGGCATATCATTTCCATGGAATGGAGCTTTTGGTGAATAGGAGAGAGTTTGATTCTTCTCTGGGACCACCTGGAGCATATGGAGGCATAAAGCAAGTTATGTGATCCTGGACACTAGAGTGATTTTTTTTTTAAAATAGTTACTATATCAACACCAAGAGAAAGGCAATACCGATGACATTT